ATATATTTTAAATATTTCATATTTAATACATTTGTTATAACATAAAATATTATATTTACATATATAATAAACTATAATTAACTATATTTAAATATAGTTAAAATTAATTTTTATATACATCTTATATATTTTTTAATCGTCTGGATTGATACCCAGAAATTGTAACAAGAAATCATATGTGTATGTGACTACTATGTTAGGTAATAGTCTGAAATAAAAAATATTTTTATCATAGACGTAAAATAATAATTAAATAATATTGAATTATAATATTGAATATAACATAATTTTGTATATTTACAATGAACTGTATTGCAGCTCATTATTATATATTTTATATTATATAATATAAATATATATTTTAAAATATATTATGTATCTATATTTATGACAAAATTTTTTTGTATCATGATTATACATACCTTATTATCTCATTAATAAATAAATAGTATGAAGGTATAGTTTGATTTTTATAATTTTGTCTTTGCGCATTAATTATTGACAAAGCCACTTCTTGCGGTAAAAGTTCTCGTATTAACCATGGAAACCTATATCGGTAAATAAAATTTAATCTTATTTTGTTACAGATAACGCTCACCAACATCTTATTAATTAATTACCGTTATAACGACATATAAAAAGCACTTATTGCAATTTTTTTATTATTACACTTATTACAATAAAGATTTATTAAAATAAAATTTTCGTTATTTATGTATACATGTAAAAATTTTATTTTAATTATGTATATATGTAAAAATGTATAAAAGGAATGTATATTGCGCATGTGATACAAGGCACATGATATAAAAAATAGCTGACAGAGCGAATGATATAAAAAATTATTTACAATAGTATATTGTTGTAAAATTACCTAATATGTAATATGTTTTTAATTAATCCAGTACGTACGAAGAACGGATAAACGGTTGTAAATTTAATCGATGACTTTCCGTTACTCAATATACGTAATTCATTCGATAAGGAGTCCATAATTACTGTTGATATAATTAATATATTAGAAAAGCATATTTTCTTTTTATTTTCGCATACATGTTATTCAAATTATGTATTAATTATATGTGTGTAGTACATATATATATATATATATATATACATACATATATATACATAAAGATTAATTATATATACATATATGTATATTCTATCTATTGTGCAATTTAAGTACTATTGTATCATTCTATGACTAAGAAACTTGTTCCAGAAGTAGTTATGTTATATGAATAGCCACTGAATTATTATTTCAATAAACAAAGCGGTATCTAGGTGTGTATCTAGGGTGTTTGGAAATTCAACCGACAAACTTTCAGAGATTGTCGGGAGTATACCAAAAGGATAATTTTACGCAGATGAATCTAGGGAAAGCGTGTCGTTACATATTGCTACGGCAGGCAGAATGTTCGAAAAAAGTCGGATCTCGAAATATCTGAAAAAATGCAAGTTTTATAAAAAATTGTTTCATACAAAAGTTGTAGGGTATAAAAAGTTTTATTTATTGACCTTATGAGTTTGATCTTGGAACTCATAAGAAAAATAAGTTTGGCACTCAGAGTAAAAAAGAAACAAAATCAGAAATACTTTATTATTTTCTCAATGATGACTTTAATCTAATACGCGTTTGGATAACAGTACACAACAGTACTGTTCGGAGTACATAAAACTGAAGTCTACAAATAAAGATTTTTTTTTATGGTTGTTCTCGAACACTCTGTCAGCCATAACGATGTAACAATACGCTTCCGATCCTAGGTCCATTTGTAAAAAATAATCCTTTTGGTGCCCCCAACAATCTCTGAAAGTTTGTCGGTTGAATTTGATCCATATTTTCCCCTTCTTTCTTATAATCATTCAATAAGGAATGAATTACCTTGAACTGCGGATTTTGTAGAGCAGTAAGTTATCCCATAATGCAAACTAAAAAATGCTGCTAAAGATGAAACCGACACAATATGACCGTGATTCTTTTCGATCATACTAGGTAAGAATGCTTTCAATGTCTGAAAGTAATATTACTATAACAATAGTAATTTTCGGAAGTTTATAGCTGCAGCACAGACTTTTGCATAACGCATAAAAAAAAAAAAAAAAAATGCATAGTGTATAATCGAATCAACTAATCAAAATTTTTCCTTTTCTCCCATTCCATGAAAAAGAAGAATTTCGATTGATTGATTCCCTCATGCACTATGCATTATGCGTTTAGCAAGAGTCTGTACCGCAGCCATTAATCATATATTAATCTAAATCATTTAGTACACTTTATTTACAAATATAGCAAGCTGATGCAATACTCGTATATCCGCTTCCAAAAATAAAGTCAATTATATTAACGGTTACTTCTTATGTCTTGTAACTTTAATATCTCTTGATATATTATATTACTTGCCCAATAATGCGCTGTCATGTTGACGTTTATGGTACGTGTAATTTCATCAGGACTTTGATTTAGAAGAGATTTAACAAACACTATGCCGGCATTGTTAATTAAGATAGTTACGTCACCTACTTCTTCTTTTACTTTATTGGCTACTCTGAAAACTTCTTCTTTATCTGCTACATTACATCTGTAAAACACACAGATTTTAATTAGAATTGATAATTTAATAGGCGTTTACATTATGACTTAGTTTGTGTTCCATGGAGCATTGTTATATAAATTTACCGATACGCATACACAGAGTGGTTTCCTTTTTTTTTAATATCGTTCATTGTTTCATTATTTTTTTCTTCATTGATATCCCAACATACCACTATTGCTCCTAACGAAGCATAACCAATTGCTAATTCCCTTCCGATACCATGAGCTGCACCCGTTATCTATGATAATATATAAATACAATTTAAATTATAATTATTACATATTACAGCTTTTCATTTAAAACAGCATAATTTTAAATTTTTATCTTGCTTTAAAATAAAATAATAAACTTTTGTTTAATAAAATACATATTTTATTAAACAAATGTAAATGAAAACAACTATATTAAATAGAGTGTCTCAGTTTAAAGTACTAGAATACAAATCTTTCTATCTATGTTTACGTGACATTTTAAAAAATAATATTTATTATTTATAGTAATGAAAAAAGATAGATAAATGTGAAAACATTTGTTAAAGAAAATATTAATTTGTTGAAATTCAATTTTGGAAAAAATTTCAAAAAAAAAAATTAGAAAGTTTAGGTAAGTCATAGGATATACATATTTTTTTTGTAAACTGTATATATATTAAGATTTTTATACGCACCAAAACGATTTCATCAGCTACGCTCTTTTTCTTTATTTATCTTATTAATCTATATACATCGTTGAAAATATTATATAGAACTTTCAATATAAGCAATAAAATCTCTGTTAAAAACAAGATATATTTTATCACTATATTGCCTAAAATTGCCATGATTGCCTAAAAAATTAACAATTTTTAAATAAGAACATCTAATTTCGGTTGAAAATATATGTTAATTATATATTTTATTAAACTTTATATTGTTGTATGATTAAATAATTATATAACTTTGTTTTTCAGCTTATTGCTAATGTCAACATTGTGAAAAAAATAGAATGTTATAAAAAAGATATTAGATCATAGAGCGGATGTTTAAAAAAAATATTCAACATTTATATAACACCTAATAATGTATAGCACATACTAACAATAAAAAAAAATCTTAAAGCTCAAAAACCGTTATTGGAATATAAACATTTTTATATGTTAACATCATAAACAACTTACGGGCTTCTTATACGTGTGCGATGTTTACCTTAGTGTTTATAAACTGCCATGCGTTCTGAATGTCCTCCTTCAATTTCCATACATACTTCGCGACAGAAGATTTCACCAGCAATCAGTTATAACTGTATAGTCATCAAATAAATGTAGATCCGCAATCGCCAGTTGATGAAAACTGACTGCGGTGAAATCTTCTTATAAAATATTGATGTACGAAAGTCAAATATAATATGTTTCAAATGCAGTTTTCCAATATCGTGTGTGATACGTAAAAGTAGGAGTTGAGAAAGTTACTTAATTATAAGTTACTTTTTGTTATATAAATTGAATACAATAAGTTTGAGTATTTTATTTTTTATATATAATATTTTATCATTTGCTCCAATTTTGTATTATTGTTTTACTTAATTTTTATAACAAATACAAATAAGTAATCTTCTCAACAAAAGTGTAATCTAAAAAATAACTTATAAGTAACTTGTAAATTAACTTATTCAATCTTGCTTATCAAAAAATGCTTATATCTCAATAATGAATCTCAATATGTTTGTTGAATTTTCAACCTATGTTTACTAAAATTTTTTTACTCAGTATGGTGTGTACTATCTATCATATAAATGCTGAATGGTTTTTTTAACTCTATGTAATACAATAGAGAAACTTTGTAAATAATATTTTATTTATAGCTTTTACATTCATTACACAGATCTGCGAATTATCACCTTCCTGATCGTCAGTTAAACCTTAAAATAGACATAACTTTTGAAAGGAACAACGTAGGGCAACGCTCAGGGGCTGCTTTTGTAGAGGAAAACTAGTACTAAAAGATTAGATAGGTAGAAAAAATTACAAAAATTTTGTTACACACTTTTTCTAACCTCAAATATCCCCAAAATAGCCATTTTTCGGTTACATAACCTCAAATATCTCAAAACCCTGACGTGATGAGACAATTCTCAGCTCGGATTCGGATTCTACGCAAAAAACTGGTGCGGAAATGACTCTCAGCTGCCCAACAATAAACCCTTGCAGATCTGTGTTATTGGTGCCATTACAAATTTTTAAACAATAGGCATCGAATTAATTTATTAATCTTAAATATAAATGATTTTTATTATTATTAATATCTCAGAATATTATTTATATATTATATTAGGTCATTGCACATAATTTCTGTCCCTTTTATAATATATTACATTTTATAGTTGCGTTTTATAGTAACGTTTAGGATAGAAAGATATTCTGATGAAATGAAATTTTTAATTTAAAAAATGATAATTTTACAGCTATTACTTGAACATTAGATGCTTTTGTTTCTATTCGATTTGGGTGTGACAAAAATATTGCAAATAAACAATTGAAAATTATACGCTTTTAGATCAACATATACGAGTATAACACTTTTTAGATTTTCATGAATATTATTTTCAAAGATATCGAAAGGTTTCCGGGTTATCACCATTAAAATAATATCCGGTGTAGTTTATCTTCCACACATACATACACACACAATTTTTTAATCAATTTTCTAAACTCTTCATGGTGTGAATGTTTAGTGCTCGGGCTACAAACTT